CCCCAAAACCCCAAAACCCCAAAACCCCAAAACCCCAAAAAATTATGGAATTATTGAGAGATTAATTTATAAATCAGCCCTTTGTATAAGTAGTTGTGTCGATACTGCTCTTCAAATTTAACAGGGAATCCTCCACTAACCTTTTGCTGTTCAATCTTTCTCTTCTTTTGATCAAATGTCAGTGATTCTGCTGAAGAGATCTCCTTAGCATTGATTCTGCTATAATGGTCAAACTCCATCTTAGAGTTTAAAATTTTAACCCATTCACTTTCAGGTGTTCTGAAATATGAAACCAACTCATGCGATTTTTTGGAGCCTTCATCTTCATCAAATACAAAGAAGCCGGTTAATTCATATAAACCATTTCTCTTAAATGGCTTGATCTTATGTTCCATAACTATCCGTCTCTCCTGGCCTTTCTTAGCAAATCAGATGAAGTACCTCGGTAATGAAACAGTCTCAGAGATAAAATGCGTCTGTGCTACTTCTTTCTTTCATTTCACACATTTCTCAACCAGTTTTCTGAGCATCATATCAATGCTGTGCTCTTTAAAATTGTAAATAGCTTCCTCAGCGTTCTCATTGGGAAGCACTTTTCTGTTAAAGTCTTCCTTAATTTGGTCGAACTCAGCAGAAGGCGGCATAATTACATAAACTTTCTCAATGTAGTTAATGCAAGGAAGCACATCTGTAATTTTACAGTAGTATTCTTCCTGGAGATCAATTTCGATGCAGTACAACATGTTCTCAATTTCTTCATTAGTCTTGTATTTGTACTTATCCCTCAGCTCTTGTTTATATTGTTTATCCAGCTTGGTTTGGTCATTAAGGCCAATTTCATTCTGCTTCAGAGCCTTGTCATTTAATGAGAATCCTTCCTTCTCAAACTGAAATTTTCTCAGCTCGGTTATAACCTCTTCGTTGTTTACATATTCGAATTTCAATCGAAATCTGTAATCGATCGGGTCCATCTTCATGTACTCGCTGTAGATGTCATCAAAATTTGAGGTATACTTCTCGTACTTTTTAGTTATACTCTTGTCAAATAACTGTGCTAACAGGGGTCTAATGGCCTTAAAAATACGTTTGTTGACTTCACCACATTTCTTACTATAATCTATACCTACAAAGCGAGGATAGAACTTTAAGGCTTCGTCATAAGACATGATGTGAACAAAGTCCCTCATTAAGAGTTCTCTCTGCTGTTTCTCTACTTCATAAGCGTAAATGGCGTTCTTGTCTCCCTCTTTTAACTCAAATTCTAAGTGTTCACCCTGAAGCAAAGAATTGATATCAACATTGAGCCTCATGTCTACTAAGGAGAGGTCTTTTTTGGTGTAATCAAAGTCCTCCTGTGTGGCTTTCAACATATCCTTGATACTGTCAACAGAGTATTTTCCTGGAATTATAGGAATTTCATACTTCTCGTATTCATCAAACTCCATTTTTCCCACATGGGAAATGAAGGTATCACTGTTCTCTTTCTTGATATAAAGCACCTTTAGACTGGATGCTTCTTGGTTTAGAAGCATAGGAAATCCTGACATAAAGAAGCCAAGTTCATTCTTGTAGTCTCTATGTCTGCACAAACCACAAGTTTTTAGCTTTTTATACTCTCCTGTAAAGATAGGCGGAGTTAGAGAACTCAGATGACTAATAATATCATCAAAACTGGTCATATCACGAAGTCTTTTCAAAGCAGCCTCGTTTTCAGCCATTACACTTCTAAACCCAGCAGATGCTTCTGGACTCATCGCTATCTCTCTGAGCATCTTCACAAATGCCTCATTCTCGAGAGTTTTGGAGGAGATTCCTGCATCTTTGAGATGGATCAGGTCAACCTGTCTTTTCCTCTCCTCAATAATCTTATCATCCTCCTTGATTTGTCTCTTTCTCCTCAGCCTTTTGCCATCAGTTTCAGGTAGAGGTATAAATTTTGGAGCTCCTTTCTCATGTTTGGTCTTCTTCTTACTCTTTTTCACCTTTTTGCTCGTCACCTTCTCGTCATCACTAAAGTCTTCAGAAAAGTCTTGCTTTGGCTCATCTTCCAGTTCACTGCTGTCTTGAGATAGCAAGTCGATGTCGTTAACCAAGGGGAGCAGAATATTGTAATCTTCAATATCATTGGAGTTTTGACTCACACATTCTATTTTGATCTTCTCTTTAAAGCACGGATCTTTCCTATCTCCATTATCTGAATCAGAAAGGTCACTGATGTTGTCATCAATTGACGCATTGTCGTCCAAAAGTGCATTAATCTCATTGTCTTCCTTTCAGAAAGGATCATTCTCACTTTTGTCTGAAGTAGCAGAGGAGTTGCTTGATTTATCTCTCTCAAGGCCTATCAAGTCATCTAATTTTCTTGAAGATTCAAGTTTTTCTTGCTCCTCTTCTCCTAACAAGAGCTCATTCTCTTCCTTGAGGTTGCGCAGTTTGATGATAGTTGAGTTTTCTCTTTTGTTGCCATTTTCTTCTTCCTCATCTGATCTCTCTTCGACATCAAATTGAGGCTGAGAATTTCCCTCACTTTTCAGTTCAAGAGGGTCAAAGTTTGTCACATCCAATTCTGTTTCAAATTTCATTTCTTTATCTTCAGTATCAAGCCTTGTGCTATCCTCTTGGGAGAAAGTTTCCAACCTGATCTCGGACTCTGCAGGATTTTGGTTCTTATTTTTATATTTTCTCTGACTTCCGGAATGATCAAAATCGTCCAAACTTTCTTGCCTCATAGAAGTTTCTATCCCATCGAAGTCTTCCAAGTCTTCCATATTTTCATCGTTTTCGACTTTTGCTAGCTTATCAAAATCATGAAGAGGATCTTCGTTCATTCCAAAACTAGTATCTGCAAACTTTTTGCTACAGTTCCTACTGTGGCTGTTGCCATCTTCTTCACGGCATTTTTCACTGCAGTAAAAGGTATTTCTGCAACCTTCTCAGCTGATCATGATGGGCTTGTCTTTCACACATCACCTAGCACAAGAAATTGCTCTTCCGCTTTCAATAGCTTGTTGGGCATATTCATCAGGCTGAAGCTCTTCTTTCTTAATTGTTCCTTTCATCTTCTTCAACTTTTGCTGCTGTTTCTCTTTCTTCTCTTGAGCTAGCTTTTCTTTGACCCTTTGCTTCTGTTCTTCAATCCTTCGTTTACGCCTGACTTCGAGATCTTCGAAAATTCTGAAGACTCCGTAATCTACCTGAGGAAGATCGTAGATTTCTCCAGTTCAGAGAGTTTGTTGGAAGTAAATACTGAATTCTCCAGCGACAGAATCTGTCTGAAGTTCTTCAATCTTTCGAGATAGTATATCACACTCCTTTTCGTGATCACTATCTGAATCTGTGTTTTGGTTCATCATGTACTCTTTGCCTAACTCTCGGCCTGTGACTAGGAACCGTAATTTCTGTGTTTTAGCTCGAGACTTAAACTGCCAAATATGATCATTTATGTCCTTTATTTCACATATGATTACAGGAGGATTCTTCATGTCGTCAATATCCACAGTTTGCTCAACAAGTCTCTTGTTATAAGGCTCCAAATTAACTGCAGGGACGGTAAAGTCATCTGTAACATCACCTCGGAGGATAGAAGAATTATAATAATCATTGAAGTTGTCAATAGTTGTGTATCTTTCATCCAACTTCCAGAGCCTCATATTTATCCTGTAGTCCAGCTTAGAGTAATTCGGGACAACTTTAACGAACCTTTTTTTGACATCTTCCCATGAAGCTCTCTGCTTGAGAATCAAGTATTTCTTCGCACATTCAAGTTTTTTTACCTCTTCTTGCAATATAAAGTTTGATCATAGGAAGTTGTCATCTTCGAAGATTCTTCCTTTCTGCTGTAAAGAATGTAAACCTTCTGATTTCCTGCCTTTCATAGCCTTCTTCTTGGTCTATGTTGAGCCCGCCTGAAATCTGTAGGGTTGAATAATATATCCCATATTCAGCCTTAAGATAATCCCACAAATATCTGGAGACAATCACGAACTCGGATCTCTGAACCTCTCTCCGAAGAGGTGTGTTTAGGTAATGAGACATATTACTCCTGTCTATAAAGAAAGAATCTTCAGGCATCAAGATATCAGAGTTATTTATAGGTCCTGGGTGCTTATTTGTCGCATCTAATAGTCTTTGGACATCTATGACTGCTGGCTTCCTCGAAGAGATTGCATTTCTTAGTCAAGAAAGCACATAATCGTATCAGAGATATTCTTTTAATTTGTTGAGCCATTTCATACTAAGGATGTAATAGACGGGGTCTGATTCATTCCACCTCGACTCACTTTGAAGCAAAAGTAGTTCGGATATTTTCCTTACAGCAGTAACTCGATCTTTACACTCATCTATGGGTGTCTTATTGTTCTTCGAATCTTTCGAAATCTTCTTAAAAGTTATCTGCTGTGTATTCTCTCGTTTAAAAGAAGGTTGAAACGGAGTTGAGGTCTCTATAACCCCTGCTCGAGCCCTCAAAGCTCTTGTCTCAACATGAATTGCATGTAGAAATCCTAAGTTCTGAAATCTGCCTTTCTTTCTCTTAAAATACGACATAATATCTATTTATCACCAAAATTCCATCAAAATTGTTTTCTTAGGGGTTTTGGGGTTTTGGGGTTTTGGGGTTTTGGGG